ATTTCGTTCAGCTTTATCATTTATTAATCTCTGTTTTTCTCCTTCTAATATACTTTTTTTCAATCTACAGCGTTGTTGCCTTTGAGCATTGGTTGCAATCAACTTTTTATTCACACCAGTTTGTGTTTCTGAATCGCGACTCCCAATCGATAATTTATTCATTACAAACTTCTCATTATTTGCTCGTGCACGACTTTGTTTCTTTCTCTCATTATTTTCTTTTCGTTTTAAAATAATTTTCTTCACTTCCAACGCATGTTTTTTCGCTCTACATCTTCGTTGTCGTTCAGCAGCCGTCTCTGAACATTTTGTCTTCTGACATTTCAAATTAGTATTATTACCTATTTGACCACTGGGATCAGGATTTTCATCCATCACTTTCTCCTCTGAACCAAACTCTGCATTTCGTTTACAAGCACGGCATCGTTGTTGCCTCTCCTTAGCTTTTTCACGGATCAAATTAATCTTCTCAATTTCCAAGATACGTTTCTTTTTCCTACAGTCCCGTTATCGCTGAGCATCACTTTTAGGTATTTTTTCATCATCTCTTTCACCTTGATCACTTTCATCACCATGACTCTCTAAATCTTCATGACTTATCCCAAATAATCTTTTTTTCTCATTTTCGTTAGACATTTTCAATTCTCAAATACAAATCTCAATAATCTCAACTAATTAATCTTGTTTCAATCTCATTATTTCATTCGTAAAAAATATTCAATTCCCAAAAAGTTGAAATAAATTAACAAAAAAGAAAATTACAAAATGTGACTTCCAAACCCACTCCACTGAAGCACAATTTGTATACACATTATTTCATATTTCCTTCAGTGATATGTGATTTTGAAGAAAGATGATTTTTAACTCACTGCAGTACTGTTATTGATCCAATAATAATATTCCATAAACAATAGATGGAGACACCATCATTGAGCGCTAAATCATGTTATTCACCGATCGAAAAATTGAATTAAATGTTCAAATTACACCTCATTGATTCACCCGGGAATCGAGAAATTCTCAAGATTAAAATGAATATAAAATTTAAATTTTCAAAACGAGACTTGCTAAAATCACTTTATTATCGCCCATAACAAATTACCTACTGTATTAAATAACTAATATGAGGTATCAAATTGAAGATCCGGACGAGACCTTCAAAATTGCGTACAATATATCTCCGTTCGGGAAGATTAAACCTACAATAATTAATGAAAAATGTCATTTTTAAGATGTGTCATAACGGAAGAAACAGGANCTGTGATTTCTTGCTCAAAGCTGTTATAACTCGGAGACAAATTGATCAATTTGGACAGGTCAGGTTTCAAATCAAAGGTAATTTTATATACTCACTTTGTAACACAAAATATTCTGAGGCATTGAAGCAGGAACGGAAAATTTTTCATCATGAAGATGAAAAGAATTGAAAATTCCAAAACGTGACATGCTAAAATCACTATATTATTGTTCATAACAAATTACCTACTGGATAAAATAACTAATATGATAGATCAAATTGAAGATCTCGAAGAGACCTTTAAAATTACTTATGATTCATCCCCGTTTATAGAGATTAAAACCATGACAATTGATTAAATATGTCGTTTTTCCGGTGTGACATAATTAAAGAAACGGTAATAATCCACGATAACTCCGCAAAGTTCCTATAGAATCGCAATTATGAGAGACTATTTTGAAGATTATAGAATACCCTTGCAAACGATTGACAAATATTTCAACCTAGTCCACCTAGAAGTACGAAAAAATACTGCCATAGCTAATTTCTCACATGAAAGGTGAAAACTCAATTTCCGCCTAAAATTCGCATAAGTCAATGGGGAATCGATAGAATTGGATGAACCAGGTGTCAAATTGAAGCTTATTTAATAAGCTTTCAAATGAGTATACCCTATGTATAATTCATTGGGAGTGGAGGTAAGAAATAACGTAAAAATCAAACAAAAACCAGGGTTACGGACACGGATTATTCTAAAGGGGATGACGATTGTTCTGAAGCACTGTCACTGCAGTTTTGCTGCACTCACGCTTATCACACCGCCAGTAATAAGCTGTATCTCCATTTTTTCTTTGTTTCGTGTCACTCAATATATACAAATGTCCGCGGATTACCAGCTTACCGTGGCCTCGGTTTGACGGCACTAGTTCACTGTATTCTATATTTTCGTTCGCCATCATTGTTCTTTTTGTTCAATTACACATGTTTTGTTCATGGCAGTCACTTTTATTTGAATTAATTCAAACTACTACTATTTATCACCGCAATTTGAATTTATTGTGATTCGGGCCGCTGTCCGCTAAGCACTGTCTAGCTGTGTTTACTCATCGTGGTTAGCGGTTCTACCCTCGCTGTTTGTCATCTTACAACGAGAAATGGTATTATATCCTGTATGTAGTTTGTTGGAATGTAGTAGTTACAATCTGTCTCTTTTTTCATTTTGGACGTTTATTTTGGTGGACGAAATGGTTTTTGGACGAAATTTTTTTTGGACGATTTGGGTCATTGGACCAAATGATTTTGGGTCAAAATTCATTGGACGAAAAGGTATTGGACGAAAGGTTTTTTGACCAAAAGTACCAGACACCATACACAAGGTCCCGATACACCCAGGCCCTCAAGGCAAACCGCGCAAGAGGAAAACACCACTGGACATTCTAATGACACCGACGGGCCTCCACTTTACGGAGGTAACGCGGCGATTCCTCGCACTTGGCCTGGTTACACCGAAGCAAACCCAACGGTGACCATAAAGGCCCTAAATATTAATCAAGAGGGGACGATCCTCGAACAGATTGCCTTCCTCCTCGACTCCTATTCACGACCTCAAGGTCGAAGCCGTCGCGTTCACTTCGCGCACGAAAGTCAGGCACCGACAAACCCCACATTTGCAGACCCAACTGCTTCTGAAGCACCTACAGTGCCTCCGGGATTTAACCCGGGTGTCCCTCCTCCAGTAATGGGTTTTTGGTGCAACAGCCAATATTTCACGGCTAGTACTCCAACAGACGCGAGACTGGATCATCTTTCTCCAGGTCGCCTAGGCTGCCATGTTCGATCGCGTTCTGGGATGGAAATTGAGTTTTCCTGGGTTACCTCATGAGAGTATCGACGAGTTTATCCGTCAGTTGATAGTGCATCAGGAAACCTGTGGTATTCCTGACGATGAATTGTTTCAAGTTTTGTCCACAATCCTTGAAGGGGTCGCGTATAACTGGTGGGAAGACCGCCGCGACCATTTGAAGACTTGCGAAAAATTGCGCTCCGCGCTCCTGAATCGCTTCTCCAGTCCGATTGATACGCGTTGTCGAGCTATTGTCGACATCGTAAACAGGACCCAAGGGCCTCTCGAACGCGGTGCAGACTATTTAGATACAGTCCGTCTAATGTGGCGCTTATCGAATAATACCAATTTCTCGGAAGCAGCCCGCCTTGACATTGCTTACAATCATTTGCATCCGGAGTATCATCTGATGATTCATCGCAATGATTTCACTACATTTGATGAACTGGAAAATCTCGTGTTAGATTTCGACTGGAGGGACAGTCGAAATCCACTGAAACGACCTCCAGACGCGCACGAGACAATTCACCCGCATCGCGCGTGTGTTCCATCGCGCTACGCGAAGAAAGGCGGTAAAGTGGTTGTGGAACAAATTAATGAGGTCAGTGGGGCAACCGGCCCTCAAAATCCCGCAAAAGTAAATACAGATGCGAAGAAATCCGAGCAGAAAAGTCAGTCTCGGAGACCTTCCAGACACACAGCCCCTGCTGCTGCTCAAGCTCCTGCGATTCAGCCTCCTGCTTCGCCAGCACGATCCTACTCAGTGGCGACTAAAGCTGCAAAGCCTAAAACAAATTTTTCAGCTGCCGGACGGAGGTCCCCAGCTAAAACCCCTCAGTCTGGCACACCACCAGCAACAGCGACATCTTCTAAGTCGGCGGAATTTTGCATCAACTGTCAGAAGAACAGTCATAAGCGGAGGAATTGTAAAATTCCGCAGACCGAAATTTACTGTTACGTGTGTGGGAAAAGGGGTGTCAGATCCTCCGATTGTACAAATCACCCACAGAAAGCAGAGTCAGGGGAAAACGCAAAGGGAGCGCAGCAATGAAGGGTCCCGCGCTGTATCCCCAGGTTTCTAGGACCCCAAATCTTCCAAAACCGCGCGTTTTAAATTCTCAATCCCCTAAACCGACCTTGACTATGTCTCCGGATCAGATTACGGATAATACAATGGACTTTTCATCTATCACGGTTGACAAGAACCACGGGACGTGGCTTTCTTCCAATCCCGGAAAGAACAACTCACGTCTCGTTAAATCAAACCGGGACAGCGTATCTTCAGACGCTGCCCCAAGTAATTCTTCACCAGTTGTTAATAATAAAATTCAAATTTCGAACGTGAAATTAAATCACGGGACTGCAGTAACTTTTGACAACAACGAAACAGACTTTCCACCTACTTACGAACGGTTAGGTCGCAAGGACTCCGCAGGGCCGATCACCGATACGGCAGATGAAACCACGACAAAATGCGACAGTAGGAAAAGTGAGGTTACGGGAGCTCCCGTAACGTCATGAGGAAAGGAGAGTTTCGCGGCAAGTTCGGGTCATCTCGCGGCTAAGCCGCTGGGGGCGCGTATCTCCTTGCCCCTGTCAATAGGTTCATCCGAATTATATGCTGTAATGGATCCTGGAGCTACAGAATCGTGTCTTCGAAATATACCCAATTGGTGGATGAAAAAGCTCGGGTTAAAGGTCAAGCCACCCGCATCGTCGATTGTCGCGATGGCTAATGGGCAGGCCGAAACCGTAGCGGGGGATGTATCAATTTCAATTACGATCAAAAGCATCACGTGGGTGGTAGAATTTCAGGTAACCCCTGGTTTGAGTAGACCCATTTTATTAGGAATGGACTTTGTCCGTATTTTTGGTTTTGGCTTCGATGGTAAAGCAAATGAGTGGTGGATAGATGGTGATGACTATCAATACCCGATTGAAACTCGCGATTTTACCGAAGCAAATGAGATTTGTGGTTTAGTACAGACTAACGATTCTGAGCGCGAAGTAATTGATAAACTCGTGCATCGGCTTGTACCTCCACCGCGTGAAAATATTAAATTCACGAACTTAACGTCTCACAAAATCATAGGGCCCCGGGACCATATCCCCTTCAGATTAAAAGATTACCCGATGTCCCCAATTATCCATCAGGAACTCGTGCATCAAGTAAAAGCACTGGTCGAGACCGGTGTTATTCGTCCTTCGGAGAGCGCGTGGAATAATCCCATTGTAATGGTTAAGAAATCGCATGGGAAAGGGCGATTATGTCTGGATTTCCCCTGGTTAAATAAATTAACAAAGAAGGACGCGTACCCAATACCAAATTTGGTCGCGATTTTAGATAAACTACGTTCCGCTCGTTACATAACAACTCTTAACTTGAAGCAAGCATATCATCAGGTGCCGCTAGACCCGGAAGTCTACGAATTCACCGCGTTTTCTGTTCCAGGCTTGGGCACTTTTAAATTCGTGGGAATACCATTTGGCTTGACCAATGATCCCGCGACATTCCAGCGTCTTGCTGACAAAATTATTGGCCCTGAACTCGAACCTTTCGCGTTCGCGTATCTAGACGACATTATTGTAGTCACTCAAACATTTGAGGAGCACCTAAAATATCTCGAGGTAGTGCTTACGAGGCTGCGTGATCCAAACCTCGAAATTAATCTGGAAAAAAGCGTGTTCTGTAGTAACCGCGTCCAGTATCTCGGATTTGTTGTGGACGAAACTGGTCTCCAAATCGACCCCTCAAAGGTCGAACCACTATTGAATTATCCTGAACCACATACAGTACGTCAAGTCCGACGTTTTCTCGGCATGTCTTCGTGGTATCGTCGTTTCATCCCCGATTTTGCCGCCATGGCTGAGCCTATTACGCGCCTCTTGCGCAAGGACATGAAGTGGCAGTAGGGCGACGAACAATCGACAGCATTTACGCGCATTAAAGCTGCTCTGTCGACCGCACCAGTTTTGTCTTGTCCAGATTTTTCAGTACCCGTTACCATCCAAACCGATGCTAGCGCGTACGGGCTTAGAGCAGTCCCCACTCAGACTATCGATGGCGTAGAATACGTGATAGCATTCGCGAGTAGGACAATGAATAAGGCCGAGAGAAAGTATTCTGTCACTCACAAAGAGTGTCTCGCGGTTGTGTGGATTTCAGACGATCACTTCAGACGGTACATTGAAGGTTACCATTTTACAATAGTTACCGACCATAGCTCGTTACAGTGGCTCCATAATTTAAAAGACCCGGCGGGTCGGTTAGGTAGATGGGCCTTAGCCCTACAAGAGTACGATTATGACCTGATCCATCGACCTGGTAAACTCCACGAGTTTCCTGACGCGTTATCCCGGATGTATGAGGACGTGTGTACACAGGCCGAGGATAATGAAAGTAACGCGGTAGATCATTCCAATACTTCCGCAGAGACTAGAGAGGAAAGCGCGGCTGAGGCGGAAGATGAGTGGTATTGGCGCAGAAAGACTGCCGTAATACGTGAACCAGCAAAATTTAAAGGGTGGAAGGTAGAGAGCGATCAGTTGCTTCGATACCGACCAAACCCCCTGGTTTTCACGGTTGCGGAAGACCTCGACGCGTGGAAGCTCGTTCCCCCAAGGTCGTCGCGACCCGACATTATTTCTGAATCTCATGATTTGCCGCGTTCAGGTCACTTAGGAATTGAAAAAACACAAGCTCGAGTAGCCCTCGCGTATTATTGGCCAGGAATGTCCGAGGACGTTACCAGATACGTCACTGATTGTGAAATTTGTCAAACGTGTAAAGTTTCTCAATCACAGCCCGCCGGTTTGATGGGACAACGCGTATTTCATGAACCATGGACGGTGGTTGCCGCGGATATCATGGGCCCTTTTCTACCGAGTAAATCAGGTTATTGTTATCTCTTGGTTTTCCAAGATTTATTTACAAAATAGGTGGAAGTGGCCCCGTGAAAGAAGGCAGATGGCAAATCCATCATTGCCAAGTTTGAAAATTTGATAATTTTCCGCTGGGGGACACCTCGAGTGATCTTCACAGACAATGGTACGGAGTTTAAAAATAAATTAATGCAGCAAATGGTGAAATCCTTCGATATCCGCCATACTACTCCACCATACCACGCGCAGGCCAACTCGGTTGAGCGAGTAAATCGTGTTCTCAAGACTATGATTATCTGTTTTATTGAACAAGATCATCGAGAATGGGATTTACATTTGAACGAGTTTAGATTCGCATACAATACCGAGCTTCATAGCTCTCTGCACGTATCCCTAGCATTCCTAAATTTCGGTCGTCAACCCCGTGACAGTTTTTTCGCGCGGAAATTAAAAGCACTCGACGAGGAAATCGCGGTACCAAATACGGCTAAGTGGACGAAACGCATGGAGCGTATGACGGAGATCTACGATTCAATTATCGATAATCTCGATAAATCGTTCGAGCAACAAGCTCGCTACTACAATAGTCACCATCGCGACGTGAAGTTTTCTGAAGGCGATTTGGTTAGGTGTAAAATCCGAATACTATCTTCGGGGCCTAAGGGCTTTACATGGAAATTGGCGCGTAAATGGAGCACCAAGTTATACCGCATTAAAGACGTTAATTCAGATTTAGTCTACGAATTATTAGACGAGGAGAGGAGAGTCGCGTGACGACACCACGTAAAGTACTTTAAACTCGTGTTGACCGCGGATAATGAGCGACTCGCCCGCGACTCGGATGATGACAGAGCCACTACGCAACATTATCATTATTCTCATCTCACCCCACCTCATATCACCTTATTATGTGTCTCATATAATCCTCTTCCACTCTTAGCTATCGACCACTCAGCAGTTCTGCGGGCACTCGACGCCCTAAACGCAGCCCTGGAGAGGCTGAACACCTTGGAGGAGGCGGTAGAGATACAGATCCTCAAGGGGACCCATCCAGTATTCGATAAGATGGTACCCATCGTGGCCCATACTCAGACCCGTGTGGAGCAGGCCATCACTGAATTGACTGCCCACATGAAGGAGGAGAAGGCCCAGAAGGCAGCCCATGCCCCCAGACTCAGGTCGTGCCCAGCTGCAGCTCGGTATCAGCCCCTTCCCAAGCTCACGGCAGAGAAGAGTAGCTCCAAGGCCAAGGAACTGGCCGTTCGCCGGAAAAAGAGCCCTCATATGTGGATGGAGTGGGGTGCTCGCTCAGGCTGTGGGAACTGCAGTGACCCAGGCCACTATGCATCCAGGTGCCCATATTTCAGGGGATCATTCTGTGGAAAATGTGGGGAGGAAGGGATGAACAACACCAACTGCCCCTCCTGCCGCCCACAACTCTCCAACATCGTCAGGCCACAAGGAACGAGGCTGGCTCGTGCCAAAATTCGTGAGTAAAACGCGACTTGACCCTGCCTGGTGCTCCGCCGCCGCCGAGAAAGACATCACCTCAATAGGGGTGAGCCCGAGAGTGACAGGGGCTGCAGAGATCGCGTCACACGCGACTCGTAAACATCACGTTTTGTTTTCGTTTTGGCTCGTCCTTTTTCCTTTGTTTAGCGCGTCCGCGCAAGTCAAATTTGATTTTGTTTTTACTCAACTTGTTTTTTTTGTAAGTCGCGTTTCCGTGAAATCAGAGGATAGAACCTCATTTTATTTTCATTTTTTTTACTATAGTCACGTGAACCCACATTCACTACTTTCAGCCGCGGACGCCGCACACATGATTTTTCATTTTATCTTCCGATCATAGAGTCGCGTAATTACTAGGAGTAATTAGAATTGAGTGAAAATTCACGTTAAGTTCTTTTGTATACGGGGTTTCGAAAAAATCGCGCCTTTGTACCAGTATCACGAAGAAGTACACATTACCTTATTTCAGGTCTACCCATCCCACACCATTCATTTCAGGCATTGTTCCATTGTGGTTGTTCAAGTTACTATCACTTCAATATTTTTTTCCTCTTGCTATAATTTTCAGCTATGGGCTTCTGGGTTCCGCTCCTCGCGGGCAATGGTATAATAGTTATTTCGCTGACGTCATTGAACGTTCCCTTACACTCACAGGCGCTCACCCCGGTAGTTCAGTCTGGGGGGGGGGCAGTTGTGACATGACAGATGTCATGCACTGTTCTCGCCTGAACTGACCGCGGTTCTTGGGGGGAAAATTAGAAAAATAAACCCCAACGAGGAGTCGGATCACCCAGGGCCACTATTTCTTCTATTATTACCATTTCTCATTTTCTTTTCTCTTTATGTCTTTATTCGAAATTGTACGCTCACCGCGTGTCACGCGGGAGCTGTAAGCGGATGAACGCGAGAGGACAACAGCGGATGGAGCATATTCACGACCACCAGCCGTCGAGACACTCACACACGGAGTCCGTCCACACATACGAGGGACAAAGAGATGGAGAGCGCCAGCAAGCTACGCAGGCTTCTACGCTCGGTCCGCACCACCTCACCGGAGAACCACTGCTAAAGAAGCCAGTAAAAAACCAATGCCACAGCATTGAAGGGACAGCGGATTATGCGAGGGCCCGCACCAAACAGCGCCCAACCATTTTACGGAGCGCGAGGTGCAACTCCATTGCACATGGATTTTTCCACGCGGAATAATAATCGCTGGGGACATACGCGATGAATTGCATCGTTTAAACGCGAGCCGACAGCCGCGGGATTTTCGGTGATGGAAAGGGGTGGGGGAATAAACTCTCGGACCTCTGATGGTCCAATCGGGCCGTAGGATAATCACTCATCGCTGGAAATTCGCCACGTTGACATTCAGTCGGTTACATGATTCATTTTATTAGACTCTTTGAGTAATCTTACGTCCTGCGGATGGCGATTAGTAATTGTGTGGTAAGGAGTCACTTCATCTGCCATCGCTGCCGTTGGGGAAGAAGCTGGTATTATTGCAGCCAGCATTTCAACGGCAAGCGTGAGATTTCCTTTTGTGAGTGAACGCGTTATTTGTCACAGAGAAGGACTCCGCGGCCATTTTGGGCGCGTTTGAGGGTGATTAACTTCCTGCCTGAGACGCGGCCCTCAGCAGCCTTCAGCTGCATTATTGTTTCTTATTGAGCCTCCGGGCATTGATTATTATCATTTAAATTATCAATTAAATTATCATTTATTTTCGTGGTGTTCACCACCGCATCTTATGGTCGAGTCCTGGCTATTGCGTTATCGTCGCGTTCGGGTGATCCTCGCGTGCGTAGCGTCTTCCACGCCTGATAATTTACATGCTATTACTTGATTATCATGTCTGATTGAATAATTGTTTGTTGTATCAACTCATTGCCGCGGGAGTACCTCCCTGCGATTCTTGTTCTACAGAATTAGTTGTCTTTTGTATGTGTCGAGTCATTAATAACTTCTTTTTTGACACTCAGTGCGTGAGGCGCTGTTTCACGAACGCTTTGCTCAGCGTTCGTGAAACACCGCCCACGTACTTCGTGTCAAAAAATATTATTCGATACACGGAAGTGAACAACTTTTTCTGGCGAATATGATTACAGAACTCGCCTTCGGCTCGTTCTGTAACCTCATATTCGCCAGAAAAGTTCTCCACGCCCTAGTATCGAAATGTACTATTGTTTTATTTATTAAGTACACTTTATTATTTGGTAAAACTCGGTGTCCCCTTATTCAAGTGCCCGTACCCATACGCCTCCGTGGTTTAATTCTGAGCTAGCTGTGGAACGTGAGGGATCACCACCTCCCTTGTCCTTTGGAGGTCAAAAGGACTGGCGCCCTCCAGGTTTTGTTTTCCTCTCGTTGTTCCGAGAGGTTTCGAGATCCGAAAACTTCTAGACCAAGCCTTCACCTATTAATTTCGTTTTTCTTCTCTACGGGCGGAGCGTTGCCCATCGATCCCCTCTGTCCATTCTCTGAGCGATGAGCGCGTTCGTCGATACCAACAGCAAAGTAGCAGCACAGCGATGATGACAATTACTGTTGTCGCACTAGATAATATTGATGCTGGATGTCGGAAGAATTCAGGGAAGCCATAAAACGTGATATTCGCATCCAGACGTTTTTCTTCTTGTCCTAGTTCTGCTTGTAGCCCCTGTAACTCCTTGACGTTCCGTACTACACTACGGAGATGGACATCTTCAAAGTTCAGTTGTCCCTTCTTCAGGTAGTTGCTCGTGCTCTCGCTCCAGGTTAGATTCATCTTTGGAAGAACATGCAAATCGAGACGTACTTCTGATGATTTTCGCCCTCTGATGGTGAAATCTGTGGCAATTACTTCGCAGTGATTGTCAATTCGTAAAAGTCCAGTTTCCTCCAGGGTACATTTTCTCTCCTTCTGATCACATCTGACGGTGATCTCCTCAGGTCGTGGTGATGCATAAAGCCATGCATTGTCCCAACTCAGGTGAATGAGTAATAGGCGTTTCAATGTCATATGTTTCATAACACATGAATCAGGAGTTTTTGCGGGGTCAACGTACATGTGTAACTCGCACGGACTGTGCGGCCGTGTAGCTTGGGTAGGCAGTATTTCCGTGTACATATACTGTCCGTTGAGCCTCTTACAATTTTTCAATTGTTCTGACGTCATTGGAATGAATTGCTGTGTCGGCCCGTGGATGACCAATAATTCGTTCTCAGGTTCAATGTATGAGTAGTATCCTTGTACTGTTTGCATCGGCAGACCATGCGGTTTATAAATGCTGTAAATTTGGGAGTTCAACAGCGGTATCTCCACAAACGTTACAATTTTTGTGTGAAATATATGTACGCTGACGTTGGAAATTTTTTCCAGTTGATGCATGGTGCCGATCCGTATTTCAGTAGGAATGCTGAATTCCATTGGCAACTTAGCTTTCTTTAGGATCTTCACTAGGTGTTCCCCCGAGAGGATTCCTATCCCCAAGATTCTTCCTGTTTCGTCTGTTAGAAAGAGCAATATTCTCCTAGCGTCCCTTACGACTCCGTCGAGGTTCGCTGAAGTCACCATAAAATGCTCATCCATGTCGTCACGAACAAGAGTTGTATTGAATCTATACTCCATGCGTTTTGACAACTGGTTCGTTGCATTCAGGAGAATTTCATCATTCCGTTGTACTGATGCTTCTGTGTGCTGCAGTTGGAAGAGTGTCGAATTGATTACTTTCGATTTGATTCTTTGTTGTCATAAGTGCTTCCTTGCTGTCCTTCGAGGCGGTTGAGGCGTTCCTGTATTTCTTTTGCATCCGAGGCGTCCATTGTGCCAAATAGCGACTCAGCCACGGAGCCTAATCTGTCAATTAAGCCTCGACGATTTCTTTCGGGTTGTCCAATTCCAAGAATTCCATGAATTGTCCTCCTAACTTTTGCATGCCCACGGATTCGTTCTTGCAGAATCATTCGGAAATTCTTCCCTGATTCCTCAGCTTTAGAGAACAGCAGCGGTGTCTTCTGACAGTGGCTCTCTAGTTGGTCTGCTCTTTGAAGCCAGAGTGTCACCTCTATTGTCGCTGCTACGGTCCAGACGTGGTTGCTCGAGAACAGTCTACCAATGGATTCAAAATGTAGGCCAGGACTGCGGACAAATTTGTCGACAGTGTGCCCCTCCCCCTTCGTGAGCGAGATCATGCTTCCCAGCATGATTGTCATGAAGGAAATTTCAGGAAATTGTAATTTCCTGCCTTTTCCTTGTGTCTCTTTTCTTTTAATGGAGCCCTTTGGACTTCCTCAGAATCCTTGGATGGCTCCGGCTGTTCATCATCAGATACATACGTAATCAACCCGATAAATGCTCTCAATCGGTTGACGTGCACTCTAACCTCCTTGTTTTTCTTGCCGGATCGAATAGTATAGTTGACATCTGGATTTTTCTGCGTCATCTCGTACGGTCCGAGCCATGGCTGCGTGAGCTTTTTAGACCTCCCCCATCGCACAACCTCATTTTTTAACAGAACTTTGTCGCCGACGTGGAAATCTTTCTTCTCAGTATGCTTATCATACTGCTTCTTAGCTGTCTCCTTCGCAGCATTCAGTTTCTCCTTCGCAACTTGGTGCGAGGCACGGAGTCGTTCTCGCAGTTCCTGTGCATAGTCATCATACGAGTATGTTGGACGTGGCGGCTGCTTGCCAGAGGTCGGCAAATCAGCACACCTTCCGTATAGTAGCTCGAATGGTGTACGTTTCGTGACGGTATGCGGGATTGTATTAGGTCAGTCAGTCTATTGCGATTTACTTAAGAAACCCTAAAATAACACCTCTGGGAACAAAAAAATAACCAAAATGTCGAGTAAATTGCCCTTATAAACATATCCAAACAGGTCTTTGGAATAATAACCGCAGAATTTTTAATTAAATAAAAACGAATGGAAATTTGCATCCCGATGCTTCTCATAATGACAATTTCCTCTCAGTTTATTTAATCGAGAAAAAAAAAAACCTTT